AAATAAATTAAAAGTTCTTTTGATATCTGATAAAAATACTCCTTAAAGTTTTATATCTTTAGATGTTAAAATCGGTTATTGGTATGAAGAGTAAATAGCTGGAATATCTCATTTTTTAGAACATATGAAATTTTAGGCTTATTCTAAAGGATATCATGAACCTGGATAATTATAGACTTATTTGGCCCAGAATTAAGGATTTACTAATGCTTATACATCTAGTTAAAATACAAATTATTACTTCGAAGTCATTAATAATAGACTATAAGAATCTATTGTTTAATTTAGTCACCTTTTTATTAACTATGAATATAAATAAGAAAATGTAGAAAAAGAAATATTTGCTGTTAATAATGAATTCATAATGAGTTTAAATAATGGTTAATATATGTAGCATTACTTAACTCAACATTTGTCTGAAAAAGGACATCCTTTTAAAAAATTTTCATGTGGAAATTTATAAACATTAGGAAATGTAATTTTAAAATGTTTTTTTAAAAATTCATATATTTAATTATTTATTTTAAGAAAAATATAGATATTTTTAACGCTTTAAGAAACTACGATTTAGAATAATATTCTTCTAATATAATGGCTTTAGTAATTTATAGTAATAAAGAAATTAAAGAATTAAAAGAAATTGTTGAGAAAGCAAAATTTTAAGATATTCGCAATAATGATTTTAATTTAGAAGATTTTTAAAAAAATGGTTTGCCATTAAAATAAGTTAAAAATAAAACATATTTATTTAATATAGATTATAATAAAAAAATAGGATACTCTTGGAAAAATATATAAATTAAAAGTGGCAGAAAATTAAAAAAAGTTAAAATTCGTAATATTTATAGAAGCAAAGAATGTTCAAAACATAAGGTATGACTTAGTTGATTATATATCTTTAGTACTTTTAAATTAAGCTTATAATGGATTTTAGGAATATCTGAAAAGAAAAGGGCTTATAATAAATATGGAATTTGAATTTAACAATGATTTGAAATATTTTTAAATATATAGTGTTGTTTTTAATTTAACTACTGAAGGATATATTAATTTTGAGAAAATATTTTAACTTTATTTTAATTACTTGAAAAAATTAGAGTTTAATAAAGAAAATTATATAAAATAAAAGAAATTAAATAATTTGAAATTTGATTATACTAATTTTAATTTTAATTAAGGGTTTGTTTAAGGATTAGCTCAAAACTTTAATTTTTTAAAAGATTCTTCAAAATTATTCACTTTCGGAAGTTATTATTAGGATTTTGATGATTAAGAAAGTCTTTATATTTTATAAAAGCTAAGGAATCCTAAGGAATATATATTCCTTTTACAATCTGATAACTTTGATCCTTAAATTAAATTAAATTCTTTTAATATTAAAAATTTGGATAATAATTATGACAATGAAGTAAAAATGTATAACTTAAAATTTTAAGAAATCCATTCGTTTTAAGATTCTAAAAAATTTGAGAATTTATTCAAATCTGATTATGAAGAAAGCTAACTATAAATACAATTGAATTTATGTTTAATTCCTGAATAATTAGATATTATTAATGTCTGCAAAAATCACAATTAACTTTAACAATAAAAAGTTTAAGTCAACTATTCTATAGATCCTTATTATTTGGATACCAATCAAATTCTTAATTAAATAAAATTTGATTAAGAGAAATTTAATTAATAATGTTAGAAATTTTAAAATAAAGAAAACATTACTCCTCTATTGTAATAAAGCTAATAATATTTAAAGATCTTTTATTAAATAGATTCAAGACAGAACACTCCAATTACACATATTTATTTATCAATTTCAAATAAAAAAGCTATTTTTGACAAAGAAATTTAGGCTTTTATATCAATATATAATTATATTGTATTGAGAAATCTAAATACATAACTATAAAATGCGATTTAATCAGGATATTAATTTGAAATTAATATGCATGAAAAAGGTATAAATATTATTAAAATATTTTTTCTTTAAAAAAAAAATTAAAGGCGTATCAATTTAACTAAAGGGTTGGAGTTAAAACTTTACTCAAGTATTTGAAAAATTACTTAAAATATTAAAAGATGCGAATATAGAATAAAATTAATTTGAAATTTTATAAATAAAATACGATTGATTTAATTATGAATAAAATTTTAACATGTAAAGAATTTAAGAAATTATAAATTTCGAAATTCCTAAAATGATTGATTATTAATATCTAACAAGAGAATAGAGAGTTGAATATATTAAAGGTTTTAAATTTGAACAAATAGAAACATTGACAAATAAATTCTATGAAAATGCTTAATTTAATTTAGTTTTGACAGGAAATTCAACTCCAGAATATAGTTAAGAGCTAAAAGATAAATATAGGAAGTCTTTAAACAAGAGAAAATGTAAGAAATAGATTAAGAAAACCAAAATATTAATAAATTGCTAATTTTAAAATTAATAATTTGTGAAAATGTAAAATAAATTATTTTTATTTTACTATAAAATAAATATAAAGATTTTTGAATCCTAATCCAAATGATTAGAATCATGTAATAATAAATATTTATTAAATTGGTAAAAGAACTCTTTATAATACAATTTATTAATCAATTTTGAATAATATAATGAAATCTTTCTTTTTTAAGTATTTAAGATCTGATTTAATGTTAGGTTATATAGCAAGTTCCAAAAGAATTACTTAATAATGTGTTGATTATTAATAAATAATTCTTTAAGGGGATTAAAAAATTCCATTCGAAGTAGATTAAATTATAGAATAAGGAATTATTTTATTAGGCAAATAAATATAGGAAATGAAAGAACAAGAATTTTTATAATAATTAATTGCTTTAAAAGAAAATAAAATAAAAATGAATGATGAAGATTATTAATCAATAGTCAAAAATGAATTTTTGACAGAGAAATATATTTTTGATATTAATTAATATATAATATATAGAATAGAATAAAATAAAGTTACATTAAAAGGATTATAATAATTTTATATTGAAAAATTTATTGAAAATAATAGCAAAATAAGCTTTTAAATGTATTCATAGAACAATAAATAAAAAATAAAAAATATTTAATAAAAAATAAAAGAAATAGAAAGTATAAGTGATATAAAAAATTATTCAAAAAATGAAAATATTTATTGTGAATTTCTAATTTGAAATATTTGTTTTATTTTTTTAAATTATATTAAAAAAATATAAGTTTAATATTATTTAAATTATATTATCATTATAATATAAGTTTTAAAAAATAAAATAAAATAAATTTTGTAAAAGAATTAAGTATTATTATAATTAATAATTTAAATATTAAAAATAATGTTATTTATATATAAACTAAAAAATTTTAAAAAAAAATTATTAAAATTAAATAATATAAATAATAATTAATATATTTTGTATATAATAATGATTATTATAATTATTATTATAATTATTATTAATATTATTATTTTTATATTTATTATTATATTTATAATAAAATAAATAAATAACTAATATATAAAAATATATATTTTTTTAATATATAAATAAATAAATTTTTATTTAATAATTATATTTTATTTTTCATAATTTGAATTTTTATATTATTTTGTTATATATATATTTTTTATTTATAAATAATCTTTTTTAAATATTTATATTATATTTTTATAATAATTTTTTATTATTTTTTTTGAATATTTTTTTTTTTTATCAAATTATTTTTTTTTATATAATTTAAAAGTTTGTATTTTCTTTTAATTTTATTTTTTTGTAATATAAAAAAATATAATTTTTTATTGTATTAAAAGATATAAATATTATTTTTATTATAAATTTTTTTTTCATTTAAAAATTAAAAAAAAAATTATTATAATTTAAATATTAATAATAATTTAATACAATTATATTTTTTTTAGATTATTTTTATATTATTTTTATTATTTTTGTATTTATTTATTCTTTTATTTTTTATTAATCTTAAATTTTCTAAATTTATCATAAATCTATATTTAATTAGTCTATTTATATTTATTATGAGTATATTTTCTTTCAAATTTTTTTAATAAACTTAATAAAATAAGATATAATAAAATAATTTCAAATTAAAAAATATGTACTATAAATAAATTTGGTAAAATTTAATTAAATAATGTTATATTTTATTTAAAAATAAAATAATTAAAAAAGATATTTTTAATTAAAATAATCTAAGTGTATTGTATATACTTAATTAAATTTATTTAATAATAAAAATGTCGTAAATGCATACATAAAAATAATAGTTATAAAACCAGCACTCAGCATTTGTAGATTTTTAAAGATATTTATTAAATGCTGGAATAATAACATCAGTAAATAAAACAATATATGCGCCGTTAGAAAGATATAAAATAATCCGACAAGCTCAAAATTAAATTATTTTCTAATAATAAAAGAGATTCTCGAACATATTCTAATATTATATGCGTATAAATATTGATAATAAAATAAAATAAAATAAATAAATAAAAATAGGAATAACAGCGGACTAAGGATATAAATCATTATGGAAAGGAAATATTACAAATATATTAATTATAATCCCTAGAAGCATAGCATAATTTGGATTTTTAGAAAATATAAATAACTTTTTATTTGATAAAGGAGAAACAAATATTTCTGATTTCGAATTTTTTTCTAAAAAATTATTATCTTCTGTTTATTGCGGATTTTTAACACTTTTATTGACTTATCCACTTGATTTTATTAGAACAAGATAATCTTTAGAATTTTAAAGTGACAAATAATTATAAAATTATAAAGGTGTTTTCTAAACCTTTAATAAAATTAGAAGAAAATAAGGCGTTGTAGGATTATATAATGGATTTTTGATTGCAAATGTAAGTAATTTACCATATTTTTTAACTGTTTTTGGAACATTTTAAATTATTTAAAGTAATTTGAAATATGAAAATTATCAAAATTTATTTGCTTATCTTGCGCCTCTTTCTATTGCAGGCTTATTCGCAAATATGTTTGTTTATCCTCTTGATACTGTTAAGTAAAAATTTAATTTAAAATTTTATCTATTATTTTTATTTTATTTTAGAAGAAGAATGTAAATGGATGGATATATATAGAATTATACATTTAAAAATACTAAAGCTTGTATATAATATATGTATCAAAATGAAGGAGTTAGTTCTTTTTATGGCGGATTTACAGTTTCATGTGTTAAGTTTGTTTTAAGTTCAATAACTTAAACTATTTTAGCAGACTAATGGGCTAAGTATATTAGAAAACAACCTAATAATTATTTTTGAAATCGATAAATAAATAAAAATTGTATTTTTATTATATTTAAAGTTAATTATATATTTTTAAAATAATTATTGTAAAAATATAAATTTTTATAAATTAAATCTCTTAAAATAAAAAAATATATTAATAATTTATAGATTTTTTTTATAAATATTTTTAAAAAATATATGGAAATTAAATTCAAATGGACACATAATATTATTATATATATAAAATTCTTATTTTTACTATATAATTAAATTAATACTTTCTTTTTTTATTATCTTATTTAAAATTTAATAATTATTTAATTATTTAGTCATATAATTAAAAAAAAAGGGCTTGCCGGGAATCGAACCCGGATCACTAGTACCCGAAACTAGTATTCTACCACTAAACCACAAGCCCTTTGTTAAATTTGTATTACTATATATTTTAATTATTAATTAAATTAATTATTTTTTCATTATTTGAAGATTTGATAAAAAATTAGATAAGTTATGAATATGAATAAAAATGATAAATTTTAATTATTAAATTATTTTTATTATAAGGACATATGTAATAGCTGATCATATAATTAACATTTTAATAAAAAATAATAAAACTTATTTAATTATATGAATATTACTAAAAATATAATATTTTTCTTTAAATCCTTTTATTTTATTTAATAAAAATATAATAATATTAAGAATTAAATTTGTTGAATTAAATATAAAAAGGAATATTTATTTTTAAAAATATAAAAAAATCAATTAATAATATTTAAAATAATGAAATATATATAACTAAATAATTGGAATAAAAGAAATGTATTTTAAATAAATTTTTTATTTTCTAAAATAGAAATAAATCATTATTTTTCACATAAAACATTTTTAAAAGCTAAATCTAAATCGCCTTTAATAATGGTAAGATCTTTTGAAGTAAGACCATTTAAATACTTATCACCTTTATCAATAAAACCACATAAAAATAGAATTTATTCACTTTACTTATAACACAAGATACTATCTTTTATTTTTTAGTTATCTTTTTTAAAGCTTTTGAACTTTTCTTCATTTGGATTTTTGATAATATTATCAAGTAATTTATCAAGCATATCAATAAAATTTTAACTTTTTTGATTATTTTTTTTATTGTTTTTTACAATTTCTTTAAGAAATAATTAAATCTATTCACATCTATTTTATTTTTCATTTTCTTTATTGTTATTGTTATTTTCTTTATTTCTTTTACTGTTTCCTCCTGCAATTAGTTAATTATTAACTTCAAAATTATTAATAGATTAGAAAATACTTTTAGGTATTCTAGCATTAAAATATTCTTAAATTTATTCAATAAAAACTTGATATTTTTCATATAAAAGGCCTTTTAAACATTGCATAATATCAAGAAAATTTTCTTTAGAATTATCTCTGATTATTAGAACTGATTGATTTTATTCTAATTGATAAAATAAAGTGTTCATAAGTTTTATTTTATTTTATTTATTATTATTTAAAATAATAACATTGCTTTCATTATTTTTGTTTTATTATTAAATTGTGAAGTATGTGTGTTTTATATTTAAATATTGATTGCAATAATTTTTATTGAATTCTATATTTTTCTAATAAGAATTTATTGATTATAATAAAATTTAACAATTAGTATTCTTTTTTAGGTTTTTATTACTTTTTATTAAATCTTAATGATCATAAATATGTATTGGATATTAAATATTTGCAAAAATACTATTTTATAATGCTAAATTATCAATTATAGAAGCCGCTTATTTATCATTTTATAAACTTTAAAAAGTAAAAAGTGGATATTATTAACAAAACGAATCTATATTATTAAAAAGAATATTATAGCTTAAAACCTTGATGTTTTTTTCATTAAAAGCATTTATTAAAAATTATAAATTTTCTGGAATATTTTCTGATATTTAAATTTCTTTACAAATAAAATATAAATGTTTAAAATCAAACATAATCTTTAAAGCTTATTCATTATTTAAAATTTCTAAATTTTGGTTTTTTATATCTAAATTTATAAACAAATATAAATGCATTTTCTAATATTCTTCTGTAGTTCTTAAATCTATAAATTCATTTTCTTAGTTTTTTGACACGTTTTATTTTAAACGATATGTGATTTCTTTTGTTAATGCATTTATTAATAATGTATCTCTTATGTAATATATTGGCGATTTTTATTAATCGTTTTTTATATCTAATTTACCATATATATTGTAGGTTTATTTTATTCGTCTACCTGTTAATGTGAAATTTGTGTATGGTAATATTTACTATGAACTAAAACAACCCATTTTAATTTATTTAAAATTTTAAATTATTGGTTTTTGTATATAATAACTTTTTATAATTTGATATTTAATAATTTATTAATTTGCTTATTTTCTTAAATTAAATAAAAAGCATATATATAATAACTAAATATTATAAAATCATTTATTATATATAAAATTAATATATAATTAAATAAATTATATTTTAATAATAAAAATATATATATATATAAACATTTAAATTTTAGTAATTACTTAAAACAAAATAAAACATTTTACAATAATAAAAAATTTAATCATAAAAAAATATTTCTAAATAAATAATATATATATATATATAATATTAAATAATATTTATAACATAAATAATAAATAATTTCAATCATTTTAACCATCATCAACTTAAGTTTCAGTTGACCAAAGTGTAATATTATCTCTTAAAAGTTACATAATTAAAGCAGTATCCTTATAATGTTCATCTTTTACTTTATCAATGCTAGTAATAGCATTATTATAGGCATCTTAAGCAATTTTAACTGCTTAACCTATAATAAAAGTAAAATAAAATGATAAAGAAATTAAAAAAATTACCATCACGATCAGTTTTTTACATAATTTCATAATAAAATACTGACATATTTAATAAAAGCCCTAATTTAATAGGATTAGTATGTTCTAAAGCTTAAGCTCTATTATTGGCTTCTTTATAAGCTTATTAAGCTGCCTCAACAACTTTATTATATTCATCATCAAGCAGAAATTCGGCTAAATATCTATTATAATCGCCTTTCATTTTTTTATAAAAAACAAAATTTTCATCATCTTAAGCTTTAGGAATTAATAAAGTATCTAAAGTATTTATTATATCAGAGCAATATAATCTTAACTCTCTTTCTATTTTTATTTTATAGTTTCTTATATATACTAAATAATTATTCTATTCAGATATTTGCTATTTTCGAGATTCCTTTTATTCTATTGCTGTTAATACACGCAAATCTGCTCTTTTATTTCCTACTAAATTTTTATATGCTGCTGATATTAATGCGCGCTCTTCTTATGTCAATTAACTATTTTATTATACAAATTTTCCCACAAAATCTACCATATCATTAAATCTTTCTGTATTTTAAGCTAACTGAGCTAATAATACAAAATCTGGTCTTTAAAATTATTTATCGGCCATTATATATTAATTTATATTTTTTTATTTTTTAAATTTTTTTTAAATAATGTATTTTTATTTTATTAGAAATAATATTAGTATACTGAATAATTTTTTATATATTATATATAAATATAAGAATTAATAAAAAAATGTTTTCAACGCTTTAATTTTTCAGATCAATCTTTGATTTTGGAATAAAAAATAATGAAATAAATAAATTTATTATTATTTTATTAACTAATTGTTAGTTTAAAATTTTCATTCATTTTATATATATAGATATTAAACTATGTAAAATTTCTATAAATTCTAACTTTATTGTTTTTCTTTATTAATCTAATATTCTTTTTTTTATTTATATAATTTCAACAATATTTATTTTAGTCTATTTAATTATATTCTAAGTATTTTATAGCTTCTCTATAAAATTAAGGGTTCAGATTTACTGTTTAATTTATTTTTATATATTATTAGTAGTATAAAAAGATTATTTATAAATTAATTATTGAAGACATTCTAAGTTATTATTATATCCTATATTTTATTTGTTTTTTTAAGTAATTATTTCAATATTTATTTTTTAATTTAGTTTTTATCTATTATGATATATTTTTTCATTATTATGATGCCTATTATCATTTAATTTAATATTGGAAGCCACTTTATATCATTTTTTTATTAGTTATTTTCTTTTTATTAGAATAAAACCTTTATAATGTTTTTAATTAATTTAATATAAAATAAAAACATTAAAACATACATATTAAATAAATATTATAAAATTATTAAATCATAATAATATAATAAATACATTTTTTATTTTCTTTTTATATATTTAATGAATATATAAATTTCTTAATAATTTCAAAAATTAATTCAATTATTTTAATTATTTTTTGAAAAAAAAAAAAAATATAATCATTAATAATATTAATATTTATTACAATAATAAAATATATCTAAATACTGAATATAATAGTTTTAATTCCAAAAATAAATAATTTCTTTATAAAATAATAAAATAAAAATTAAAAAGTTGAAAAAAAAGCATTTAAACCATAAAAATAATATAAGTATTACTTATTTATATTTTATTTTATTTCTTTTTATTTAAAACTCAATATAAAAAAATAAGTAGTTATCCATATTTCTCGCTTTTTTTTTTTTTTAATTGAGTTTTTAAAAATAAATTACAGAAAAAATAAAATAAAAAAGTAATATAAATACTTAATAGAATAAAATTTTTATTCAATGATTATACTATGGCACATTTTCACAAAAGTTGATTTAATTATTATTTTATTATACTTGATTTTAGGCCAATTTAAGTTTGATTTCAATCTAAATAAAAGTTTCTTAAACACAATCTTAATCTTTTAAAACTTAAGAAACTTCGTTTAGAATTGACTTAAGAGCATTGAGATTATTATTTTATAAAGAATACATTATAATACAGTCAATAAATACTTTTTTTTGCTAAACTCCTAAAATATTATAATCAGGATTATCATTTAAGCACGAAAAGAAGAACTCTTTAATTTAAGGTAGTTCGTTTTTGTTTAATTATAGAAATTTAATAATTACAAAAGATATATTATGTAAAATTTAAGGATTAAAAAGAGATAAGATATCAAATAGAGTTCTAATAACAACCAGAAGATATTACTGAAATTATTATTATTTTGAAAAATCTGTACAAAATTGTACAAAAGTGTAATAAAAGTCTACAATGTTAAATGCCATATTACAATGATTGATATTTTTTATACATAAAACTGAAAAGTCAACTATTTTAAAAAACAGAGGTTATTCCGAACAGACATCTTTATAATATAAAAGGAGATTTTTTTAAATTTCATAAAAGTATTCTATTATTTCTGGATCCTCACTTCCTATATTAGCCATGAAATAATCTAAGAAAAATCTATTTAAATCATTCAGATTTTAAACAAGCCACCCTTTTAAAAAAGGGACCCCTTATTCTTTAAAAAAGCTTAGAAGAAGTCCAAATACTTTAATTCCTTCACAATAAAAACTAGGATTTTTCTAAAATAAAAAAAGGAAACTTCCAAAAATTTTAGTAAACAACCTGTAAATGCATTACCTGCCTTTTTTTAAAACACGCTTAAAAAAAACTTAAAAATCAATAAAAATTACTAAATTTTTATTTTCTTATCTAGTAAAAATTCCTTTAAATTTTCCATTAAAAAATCTAATTTTTCATTCAAAAACTCCTATAAATAATTAACTAAATCTTCATTTAAATGTAAACTTTTATTTACAAAAGCTTATAAAAATCCTTATAAAATACCAATAAAAACCTCTTTTTATTCCTTATTAGAATCTATAATATCCAAAATAAGCAAAAAAGCTTATTTTAGAGCTTCTCTTTATTAAAATTTATTCATAAATTCTACCAAAGCAAACATTATATGTTCTAAAGCAGTTTAATTTTTAATAAAATTAATTTTCTATTTCCAAAAATCTAATAAGTCAGCAAATATTTTAGCATATTCTTCTTTTTTTTCTTCATAAAAATTTTCATTTTAAATTACTGAAGCAAATGTTTAACAGACCAAAACTTAAAGCTTTTCTACAAAAACGTATTTTAAAATAAACTAAAGGGTTTTTGGAAAATCTTTTTTGCATTAAACTTACTAAATAAACTATAATCCAGTTAAAACAGTAACTTCTTCTTGTGGAAAAAGTTCATTATTTACCACAAAATTAAATACATTTTCCAAAAAAGACCTCTAGCATTAATTTTCGTCATCATCTTTGCCCAAAAGCATATTATCAAACATTACTTATACTGAAAAGAGGCAAACTTCTACTTGAAAATGATATAAAACGTCATTTTAAGATTAATTTAATACCTAAAATATTATATCAGATAGTATTTTTAACCCTGATGTTTACCTAAATTAAACCAAAATATTATAAACAGTTACAAAAACGTCTTTTGAGTACATTCTGTAAGTTTTAATACACATATTTTGTGAAATTTCATCCAAAGTGAATTCTTCTTGTGGTAAAAATTCTTAAAATTAATCTTCATTTTCATTTTATTCAATAATATTTGTTGTATCAAACGTACATTTTTACAGTAGAATTTTAAAAACTTCGATATAAGGTTAGATGAGCCAATCTTCATTAATTTCGCGCTAAAACTAAACTAATACAGGGAAAAAAGAAGTCCAAAAATCAAAAGATATTTATGAAATATTTAAATTAGAATCTTATGTACAAAATAAAATTAATTTCAATAGTGCAATTGAATATTCGCTTTTTTCTAATATTAATATACTGAATTTTTATCCTAATGTAGTCACCAATTCAGCGAAAAATCTTTTTGTTTTTAAAAATATTTCCTTTTTTTCAAATAAAAACCTTATTAAATTTCTTAAACAAAATGCTTCTTTTTCATTCATTTGTTGAAAAGCTTTTACTAAATTATTACTGTATTCTAATAAATCGCTGTTTTATGAATTTTTTACACTTTCAATAAATATTGATAGTATTGTTTCTTGAACTTTCTCTGTATTTTATTTTTCGGTAATTTCTAAAAAATATAATAGCCTTTCTACTAATTATATATTTTATAATAGTTAATATTTAAATTAGCTCCCACACCATGAATGTATCAAAAAAAGAGTTTTTTTAATAATTTTTTCGTCAGAATATGATAATAGACTCTCGAAAATTTCAGAAAATTTCTAAAAGTTCTGTTAAAATAAAGAACGGATTCTTTAAAATTACTTCATGTCTTTTATTACTGTTTATATTTCTAAAGAAGCGACACTTTCAAATATATTTATTCCATTTATTAATTGAAAATTATCTTTTTTAAAAATAAATATAATTATTTTTTAAATAAAAAAAAGTACTTTTTTTCATATATTCAATAATATCATCAATAAATAATTACCAATCAGAAAACACTCCTATAATTCCTAAAATAGAAATTATTTTGGATATTTCTTCAATTACTTTTTCTTATATAGTGGATGATGTTTTTTCCAATATTTGGAATAAAAACAATTTCAATTATTCCTTTTCTAATTTATTTAATTATTAATGATCTTCTTTTACTTTTTTGTAAAGAATTTTCACTCCTAAAAATTGAAATGTTGAATTTTCACATTCTTCTATTAGTTATCTCGATATCATCCATACTTCTCTTGATTTTTATAAATCTAATATATATTCGTTTGCTTTTATTGTCTCCTTTTAATCACTACTTTAGGATAAGATATTGTATTGATTTATAAATTCATCTTTTGTAAACATTTTTTTTTATTAAATTTATGTTTTTATTTTATTTTTAATTTTTTGTTTTATATATATATTTTTAGATTTTTTATTTTAATATAAAAATTAAAGAATTTTTTTATTTTAACAAACATTTTTTAACTAATTTTTGAAGCTTTATTCTATTAAAATTTAATTCTTTATAAATATTAAAATTTATTCTAAAATAAAGTCAATTTTTTAAAAAAGATGATTAATAAAACGATTAATTCTAAACAATAAAAATAAATAGAAAGAAAACATATAAAATGATGATAATTTTTTTTTTGCAATTTTTATTTTTTTTTAAAAAAAATTTAATAAAATAAAAAAAAACTTAAAAAAAAATAAAGTATATATAAAAAAATATATAAAAATATAAAATCATATATTATAGCTTTCCGTATATATATATAAAAATGGGCGGTCAAAATACTTGCTGTAATAGAGATAAATAAAATATATCCACTGACTCAAATCTGAAATCTCAACCAAACATAAAAAAGCCTGAATACTTTAGTGTATTAGAAAAGCTAACAGATTTTAATCCAAAAAGAAATTCATTATCCGTTCAATTTGTTCATTATATGCAGGAAGGATGTTAAGGATTAATGCGTTCATTACCAAAATTAATTCAAATAGCTTAGTTAAAGGCTGATAAAGGAGAACATTTTTATTACAATCCTAAATATTTAAAAGAGTATTTTAATTTAAAGGAAAATGTTTCTCCAGGTATTAAATTTGAAAAACTAAGTGAAGCATTTAAATAGGAACTAAATCATTTTTATACAAATAAAATAATTTTAGAAAAATAAGATAATTGGGGAGTTATTATGATCTTAAAATTAGGAAAATATAAATAATTTTTTAGTATAAAAAAAAGAAATGGATGGGAATATGTTATTCATACATTATATGAAGTTTTACCTGAAGAAATTAAATAAGAGGAAGAATAAATTAAAGAAAAATTAAAAGAAAAATCTTAACTTTAATCTATTTCAGAAACCTTTAATTCTGAAAGTAGCACTTTTTAGGATGAAAATATATTAAATGAAATTTAATAAAATCCCATTTCTACTAATGTGGAATAAAAGCAAACAGATATTTAAAGAAATTCAACTAAAAGTACTTTCAAATAACATTCTCCTTTAAGATTAAGAGATATGGTATTTAAAGGATTTAATTGTGGAGAAATATGTTTTTCACCATTTGATATATTTCTTAATTACCTAGATTCTATTATAGCAGATTATGAAGACACATAAAACAAATTCCTGCAATTAATGACTTTTACGGATACTACTAATAATTTTTAATGATATTATATAAATATTGGATTAATTTATTTATATGTTTTCTATATTTTTCTAAAATTATAATTATATAAAAATTATTTATATTTTAATTTTTTATTATTGATATTTATTTATTTATTTTATTAATTTAAATGCAATATATATGCTTTTTTTTGTTTATTTAATATTTTTTACATATAATTAAATAAATTTTATTATTTGTTAAAAGTTTTTAAAAATAGGTTTTTATTATTTGTAAATCTAATAAATTTTATATAGAATTTTTTAACGAAATTTTATTTAATTTAACATTGTAAAAAAATAATTTAATTAGAATTATTTTATTAAAGAAAATAAAAAAATAGTTAAATATACCTAAATCTCATTTCACAAATTAAAATTCAAGTCAATCTTTTTTTTTTTTTTCAAAAATTTTTTTCCTAAAAAATTAAAAATATTTATCTTTTGTAAAAAAATATAAACAAAGTACTTAGTTCTTAATTGCTAGAAATCGCAATTTAAAATATAGAATGAAATAAAAAATGTAATTATTACATAACAAGTACAATTAAATTGAAGATAAAAATAGGACAGCAAATTTTATTTTTACAAGTAAATATAATAGTATTTATTAAACAATGCTTTATAAAAAATTAATGTTTTAAATTATTTTTATGATTATAATTAAAAAAAAAGGCATGTTTTTTATTAATATACAAATTAACATACAAAAAAAAGTATTTGAATTATAAAAGTTAATCAATTAAATCTTTATTAAAAATGAAATGATAAAAACCAGATTAGAAATATAAACTAAAATAAATTTTATAGTTTAATATTTATTAAATAAAATTTTGTATTTAATAGATAATTAGACATTATTTAAAATTAAAAAATAAATAATTAAAATTTATTTTTTAGACACATTCAAAATTAAATAAGATAAAATAAAAATATTACTTATACATATTATATTTTTTTATTTAAAAAAAATAAAAAATTAATTAATAGAAAAATAGGCTATAATAAACAAATCATTTTTTAAATTAAAATTTATTTTCTCTACTTTTCCAAATTAAAAAATGGATCAATCACTTATAATTTGGAAATAATGAATGATTTTTTTAAAAATTATAATCTATTAATATTTTTTTTTTTTAACAAAAAATTACAAAAAAAATATAAAAAAACAATATGTAATAGTATATCATAAATTCATTTATTATAATTAATTTATACCAAAGAGTTTATTTATGAAAAGTTAGCTTGTTGATCTTTTTTTCTATTTTTTGCTAAATTATATTATTGTTTGTCAATACTAAAGCTAATAGTTCTTTTTTTTTCATTAACTTTATGAATTTCTTTAAGAATATTCTCATGTTTTGTATTTATAGGTAAAATTTTCTTTTTATTTTTTCGGTCTTATATTTTTTTATATATCTCAACACCTGACAATATACATTCTTTTAAACATTCTGCTAATTCAATTAACATAATAATACAATATATGGAAATAATAAAATATCCAATTAAATTTCTTGAATTTTCTGAATATTTTTCTTCATCCAGTAAAAATATTAAGCAAAAAGAACACAATAAAAAAGCAGATTCTTCCATTAAAAAACTTATATTCTTAAATTTCTATTCATAAGGATGTGTTTTATAAACAAAAAAAGTAATAATTAAATGGCCTATAATAAAAAATAATAAAATACATAATGGATTTTCATATAAAAAAGTCACAAAAAAAACAAAAAGAAACTTTCTCAAATATAAAATTATAAAAAAATATTTGAAATGATTATCTTTGGTACAAATTTATTCTAAGTGGACTTTTTTGACAACTAAATGCAAAAGAAAAATGGGTAATAAAGGAATAAAACTACAAAAAGTAAATATAAAACAATTGAAGTAATCTCCATAATTTTATGGATTTCTTAAAGATATTAATTAAAGAAAAATAAAAAAACAAAAGTCTAAATACATAGTCCATAATAAATCATAATATAAATCTGCTTTGAAGATAATTTCTTTTATTCTTTTTATTTTTTAGAATTTTCCAAAAATTTTTAATATATAATTGAAAACAAAAATCATTAATAATAAAGACAAATTAGATCCTTATTTATATATTTATTTATAAAAAAAAAATTATAAAAATTAAATACCAGCATTCTCTAAAAAAAAACCATTAATTTATCTTTTTTAAAATTATTATTTTTATATATCATAATTTTAATCAAAAGATACAAAAAAGCTTGGAAATCCCATTTCAAATCCTTACATTTTATCATAAAAATTATCTAAATTAGATGGATAACTAAAATAAATATTAAATAAGAAAAAATAAAAAAAGTTACTTAATATTAATAAAAGACATAATATAAATAAGTTAAGAAATATCAATTAAAGATGCAATAAACTTAAATGCTCCAGAAACTTAAAGAGGAAAAAACACTATTTAATTGATATTATTGACAATATTTTAGAATTATCCATAAAAAGATATAAACTATTATGTAGCTTAATTTATTTCTTTATCATTATTTTGTTAATTATTTTAATTTGTTTATTTTTATTTTAAAATAAAATGAAAACTTTCTTTTTATAAAATAATATCTTCAAGCTAAACTATAATATCTACATTAAAATCTTTCATTTAATTTTATAGAAAGTTAATATATAAAAAATTTTATTATTCTTTATTTATGTTTTAGATAAAATTAAAAGAACAATCTTAACAATCTAAAAAGTTAACTTTTAAATAATTTTGAAGATCCTTATTTTCGTAAAAATCTTCCATGAAATTTTCTAAAAAAGTCACTTTTAATTAAATTTCTATTTCACTTTTTTAAATATAACTATATTTTTCTGCACCTATTTCTAAGGGAATGCACTTTTGTTTGTAAATTTTAAACTTTTAAGAACAAACTCTACAAGCAGAAGGTTAATATTGCTAACAATAATCACAATTTCTAACTTTACAAGGCGTACATTATTATAAAGTTTAATTATAATATAATTATACTGAACATACTTAGCATTTTCTATTTATCATATCAAAATATTAAAGATATACGCAAAAGGGTAGACACAAAGTACTTTAAGTTTATAAAAAAAGACTTTATTTGCATCTTGTACAATTTTCAAAAGTTAAGCAAGATTCACAATCTTTTCTACATTTTAAACAATCGTTATCTTAAATTTATTCTACTTTATCACATTCTTTTTTGACATAAAATTTTTTATTTTTATAGGGATTGCTTTTTATTTAATTTAATTTTTATTCTATTTTTTATCCACATTATTTCAAGCAATTTTCATTTTTTTATAAACATTCATTTTCTGGATTTAGTGGACATTAAAGGCATTTATTATTAAGATTTGTGTATTATTGTGAGGTAATTTAAAGATTCCTTATTATTTTTTTTTATCTTTCTTTTTCTTGATTTAATTTATTGGATATTAAAATATCCTATTTAGAATTTTATTCATTTTAATTATCTAAATTTTAATTAGATTAATACATATCATTTTATTGATTTTGTTTATATTCTTAAGAGTTTTATAATTTTTAATCTTATTTTACTTTTTCTTCTTTTTATGTTTGACTCTCTTATTCTAAATTAATATTCATTTATAAATCTTTTTCTTTGATAGATTTATTTATTATAGCAATATCTTAGTTTTCTTATTTTCCTTAGATACCTTAATTTACTTAAATTTCCTGTTTTTCTTAATGATTTTTTGTATTTTCCAAAGTATTGTTTTCAGTTTATTATTTATTCTTTTCTTTTTAATATTTTTAATCTTAATCTTAATTTTAATCTTAATATTATATTATTATTATTATTATTATTATTATTATTATTATTATTTTTAAACATCAATTATTTTTTCATCTGATTTATTTTAATTTTCTTAAAAAAAAAGTAATTATCTTAACAATTAATACAACTAATATTATTATTACATGAATGGCAATTGTCGTCAGCACATTTTATACATTAGTATTATTTTTAAAAATAACCATGCGGACATTCTTATACACATTTATCTTAAATTTAAAAATGGTCTTATCCACATTTTATACAAATATTCAAATTTTCCTACAATTTATTTTCTATACATTTTTAAGTACATAATAAATGTAATTAGCATTAAATACATAATTCTCTGTTTTCAAAAAATTTGTTATTACAATTATTCTCACATTTATATAAAATCTATTACTAAGTAGCTTATATATCTATATCTTTACATGAATATTCAAATATTTATATATCATATATATATGTTGTTTTAGAAAATGATAATTTTAGTTACTTTGTATATTTTTAATTAATTTACGAAATATAAAAAATAAAAATATTATATTTACTGTTTGTTTTGTTTTTATCTTTAATATCATTTATAAATGTTAAAAATTTTATCCAGTTTCATTATAAAAGGTTATATTACTATATATATTTTCAGTTTCATTTAAAGAAAATCTTATTTAATTATCTGTTTCTTTTTAAGTTATAATGTGTACTTCTAATAATATTTAATTGTTGAAATTCATATTAGCTAACTTTATTTCTTCCATTGGATTTAATTTCAAAGCTTTATTTCCATTTTCATCTTAAAATACACAATTATTTTACTATAAAGTAGAGGCTACATTTGTATAAACAATATTATTAGCTAAAATTGTTTTTTAACAATCAAATTTCTATAATCTGAAAACATTATTATATTTTTATAAAAAAAAATGTTTTATTAAAAAAATCAGATAGAAAGCTTTCATTTTTATCATTTTAAATTTTTTATGTATTCTTTGTTTTTTTAAAATTTATATATTAACAAAGTTTTTATATCAAATACTAAAGTAAGACTCACTAAATAATAATGAATATTGTTTTCGTATTTAAATTAAATTTAATTCACAAAAAGATACACCAAATAAGTAGATTATTTTATCATCTTTTAATCTTAAGCATTTTTCAATTTCTTCTTAATTTTTTTTTTTTTAATAAAATCATATTAAGCATATTGGTTAATTTTAAAAAATAAAATAAAAATTAACAAAATTAATTTTTTTAAATATAAAAGTTAATAAATAGATAAATTATATAGAAAAGTGTATATTTTAAAATAAAGGGTTTATTTTGCATTTAAATTTAAATTTAAGAAAAGATTAATAAAAAATATAAAAATAAATAAGATTTATAAAATAAAATAAAAAGAAATTAAAACAAATGATTCATAAATATTCTAAAAATCCTTGGCATTATGTATCATATGGAACTGAAGTTCCTCACACAGTAACAGCTGTTATTGAAATCTCAAAAGGATCTAAAGCCAAATATGAATTAGATAAAGAATCAGGGATGTTGAAATTAGACAGAGTACTATTCTCAGCAGTACATTATCCTGCAAACTACGGATTTATTCCTTAAACATATTGTGATGATAAAGATCCTTTGGATATATTAGTTATATGTAGTATTGATGTAGAACCTTTATGTTTAGTAGATGCTAAAGTAATTGGAGTAATGCATATGATTGATGGTGGTTAAATTGATGATAAAATAATTGCTGTAGCTGCTAATGATAGCTCTGTAAATCATTATAATGATATTCATGACTTACCTTAATATTTAACTAAACAAATTGAAAGATTTTTCGAAGATTATAAAAAATTAGAAAAAAAAGATGTCAAAGTATAATAATGTGAAGGGAAGGAAGTTGCTTTTAAAGTTATTGAAGAATCTATTAAATTATATTAATAAGAATACGGTTATTTACATAATCTTGCTCAAGGCTAACCACTAAAGAATTGATTATTATTTGATATAAAAGTATTTTATATTTTATTAATTTTTTTATAGATTTAATATAGGAAATTCATTTTATTTATATATAAAATTAATTAATATTTAATTTATACCATAATTTTTATATACATAGGATAATTTTTTTATTTAGGAAATCAAATTATTATTTAATTAAATATATATAAAAATGGTATTATTTTATATTATAATCATTACATTTATTAATAAAAATAATCAACTAAAAGATAATTATTTTCTAAAATTTATAATTTTAATAATTTTAAAATGGATAAAAAATAAATTATTCATATCAAAACAAAAATTACATAAATATGGTTTTTTAATTTAAAATATATTATATTATATAATATTAAAAAAAATATTATAAAATATATATATATATACATATAAATATATATATATATATATATCCATATATATTTATAAAATATATATATATATATATATTATTAAGTTTTATTTTATAAATTTTTTTTTTTTTACATTTATATTTTTAAATATATTTTAATTAATTATTTTTCTATTTCAATCTAAAAAAGAAAAATTTAAATATGAAAGAAATAACATATTTAATATAGAAACACATACTGTCTTTAATAAACTGTTAATTTTATAATTTTCTTTTCTTTATAAAAATATTATTAAAAAAATAGCAATAACTTATACATACAAATATATATATTTATAAAATTATAAAAAGACTATTAAATATATATGCAATATATTTTCATATAATTTTAATTATAAATTATAAAAAGAATTAATTTAATACAAAATTCATAAAAAAAAAGATAAAATGGCTAAAAAAAGATAATCTCTATAAACAATGCTTGTTAAAAAATAAAAAACTATAAAAAAATAACAAAAAGAAGAATATGATAGTTAATTTAACGATTTTGATAATGATTTTTGTGATAACGAGTCTACTGCTTCTAACTTTTCTTAATTTGTGAATAATTCTTATCCCAAAAAACTTAAATAAATTCAATCTCATAATTAATACTCTAAGATTTTAAGATTTTAAAATATTTAAAGAAAAAAAACATATCGTATATATTGCTTTGATGAAGAATAATTACAAATTCCTCAAAAATTCTAAAAACAAATAGTACATTCTTATTCAGATAATGACAGATAAACAGATAATGAAGATATAGATAATGGCATTAAAATTTTAATAAATTCATTAAAAGAAGAAATAATAAATTAATGAAACCTATTTTTTTAAAAAAATATAAAGATACTTTAAAATTACATTAATTTATATAAATATTTATTATAAAATATTTACAAAATGAATAATTTATTTAAATTATAATTTAAAATTTTTATACTATATATATAAGTAAAATATCAATTCTTAAATAAATATAAAAAAAAATATTTATTTATTATAAACAATTTAAATAAATTTAATAACTATTTTTAGAAATATTAGAATATCAATAATTTTTCTAAAAATTTGCATTTATATGATTATATTAAAATAAATTTAAATGATTTATTAATTAAATATTATTTTAATATATTTCATAGATTCATTAATATTTTATTAAATAATTATTATATTAAAATAATAATATTAAATAATAGAATTATTTACTAATAATAACCTATCTAAATTTTGTTTTTAATTTTTATATATTTTATATAATTTTTTATTGATTTTTATAATAAAAAAATAAAAGCAGTATAATTAGAACAAAAAATAATAATAATTTATAAGCCATAAAATTTTATATAAAAAAATTATATTAAATGTTAATTTTACTTTTGAAAATCATAATCATAAGTTCTTTACATAATTTTAATATAATTAATTTAAACATAAAATAATTTTAGAAATATATATAATATAAAATGAATATGTTAAAAATATATATTAAAAATTTAATTATATAATTTTTATTTTTAATATATAAATATAATTATAATTATAATTATTAAATATTATATTTTTAATATATATTTTGAATATCTTTTTTATCGATATCAACTTAATATATCTCCTTTATTCCTTAATTACAATATCATAAATATAAATTTTTATAGACTACCTAAGCATCAATATATAGAAATAAAGTATTATAAATGTATATTTATAATTTCAAGCAAACTTAAATAATATACATATCAATCATATTTATACATACTAACATGCATACATACATACATATTATATATATATATATATATATATATATATATATATATATATACATATATAAATACATAAAGGTATTTTTTCTTTAATTTTTTATTTTCCATTTTAATATGTATATATTATTTAAGTTATTTTTTTCACAATGATTTTAACTATTATCAAATTCAATTTAAGTTTATTTATTTTTAGATACAATTAGTTTGTTATAGTAGTAATATTTTTTTTTAAAATTTGTTTCATATAACTATAAAATTGATAATAAAATTAATTACATAAATCTCTTTAAAATTATTTATTTATGCTGTATTAATTGTATTCTTTTTATTATTATTTAAGATTATATTTTAAATCTTTTTTATTATGATAAATATTAAATAAAATGTTTTTTTTTACACAAATACCCTAATTATCATTATTTATACGAAATTATTTAAATAAAATTAAATAAATAATTTATATAAAATAATATAAATATTTTTTTTATATTTAATATATAATAAAAATATATAAGAAATATTTAGTGAAAATTATCTATCTTTATCTAATAAATTTATTCAAAAAAAACGTGAGAAAACTCTACAATAGATTAAGTTAAATTATATTTTGCTATTATTTAAATATTAGATACAGATTATGATTGTTACTAAATTAAAACTTTAGAAGTAATTTTTTGAAAAAAAAATATCTAATAAAATATAAATAATTCTTAATAAATAAATATATTTAAAATATGTATATATTTATATTATTATTTAAATAATAAAATATATGTGTAATTATTTATAAATTAAAATATAAAAGCTTGTTTTCTTTAAGATTTTTGAAAATTAAATTTTAATATTAATTTTTATTTTTTTATAAATATGTATACAAATAAATGGATATTTTGCAGATTTTACAGCAAACAAATTGAAAGAATTTTTTTTTTGAAATAAAAATACTTTTCAATACTGACACAAATATATGATGATTGATATACAAAATAAACTTTAATAATAAATTTGTCTCCACTTTTTTTGAATAATAGATATAAGAATCTATTTTTCTAAAATTCATTATATTTTGAATAATTTTTTAAGTATTTTTTATCATAGTTATTTAAATTTTCTTTTCTATGTTTTTCATTTTTATATGTATTTTTTTATATCTTCTTTTATTAAAGATTCTTATTGTTTTTTTTTAAGATATGCAAATAATTTTTTTGCGAATAGCTTACAGATTACTAGAAATTAATTTTCTTAAAATATTTTGGGGGAGAAAGGTATTTCGAAGTTAAATTTTTAGGTTATCATTTTTTTAAAAAAATGTTTCCAATTTTATCTCATCATCAAATTTCATATTATAATTTTGATTATTTTTCAAGTTTATTGTTTCTGATTTTTAAAATTGAGTAAGAAGAATCTTTTCATAAAGATGCACCATTACATAAAATCATTTTAAATATAAAGTTGAGAATAGTCTATTTTGATTCTTTCAATAACAATCAAAATAATGAATGATGTTTTAATTTTCTTTTTCTTTTTGGCTAATGAACTTTTTTTTCTTGTCAAATCTAACTTTTTTATTCTCAATTTTCTCCCTTTTGGAGTTTATTAAGAATTGAATAAACTGATTTAATAGTACAATTTTATGCCTTCCTTACCTTTTTGAACAACTTATTAAAAGGTATTTCTAACTTCTAATAAATATTTATTTAATTATTTCTTAATTAAGAAATTATTATAAACAACAATTTACTTAATGTTGTATTATTCTATCATGTTTTAAAAAGTGATAAATTTTTATACGATTAGATTATATTTATTAATTAAATATACACGCGCGCATATATTAAGCCAATGTATCATATTGATAGTTGCGTAATTACATAATCATTCTATCAAATTTTTAATTAAATAAATTTTCAAAATATCATTTATCGTATTGTATATATTTGATATGATATGAAAATAAAAACAGGTATTCAGACAATAGTAGTTTTATTGTTAATTCATTTTTTTCACGATTTGAGTTTATATTAATAATTTTTTACTATTACGTTATAGAGTTCGAAGTTTTTATTTAATTAAAATATTTTATATTCTTTTAAATAAAATAAAATTTTTCTTATTTTTTTATTAAAAAAAAAATCATTTATAAGAAATTGAGGAAAAAAAGTAAAAAAATTAATTTATATATATTTATATTATTTTTATCAGTTTTATTTAGTTATTTTATTTTAAATAAATTTCTAAAAATTCAATTTTCATTTTCAATATCCATTCCAAAACTAATAATTTTCTATCTATTTTCTTAACTATTATCTTATTCATTTTTACCTTATTTTAATTATTATTAAAAAAACTATTAAAATTCTTATTCAGTTGCATCTTCTTCAAAAGGATGAAATTTACATCCTTCATCATAAATAGCTTTTTCAATAAGATTAACTTTAGGTAAGATTTCATCGAATTTCCAATCAAATACATCTTCACATTTAATAATTTAAGATTTATCATATTCACTAAAATATTCATGATATAAGCATTATTCAGCAGTCCATCTATCTTAGAAATCAAAAACTAACATTTTACATAACAAATCTATTGCTAAAGGATCTTAATTTTTAAATATTTCGAAAAAACTTTCAGGCTTTTTAAATTATAATTGCGTTATATACTTAGCAGAATATTCTTAAACTTAATATGAAAGTTTAGTTAAATCTGGAGTTCCTAAAATAGCTATAATTCTATCTAATTAATTCAAAAAATCTTTACCTTTTTTCATTTATTTTTTTAAAAAAAATTATTAAAAATTTTACCTTCAAAAATTGGGCATTTTCCCATTATTTCTGCAAAAATACAACCTGCAGACCATATATCTATAGCTTATGTATAATTTTAATTAGAAATCAATATTTCAGGTGCTCTATACCATCTAGTTACAACATAGCTTTTTAATAAGAAGATTTGTTTATTTTTTATTTTTAAAAATACAAAAAAATAGGAAAAACAATTTTATATATATATATACTTAAATGAGATTTAAGAGTATACTTAAATATTATACTCTGTTATATATTCAATATTTTCAAATTTTCTAGCTAAATTTAAATCTGCAATTTTTAAAGTACAATTTTTTTATAAGAGAATATTATTTGGTTTTAAATCTCTATGTATTACATTTGCTGAATGCATATAGTATATGCCATTTAAAAGCTACCACATTAAATATTTTGTCATTTTTTGTGTTATTTGTTATGCTGAATATATTATTTTTTATAAATCTGTATCCATGAATTCTAAAATTAGATATATATCCTAATAACCTGTACAAAAATCTGGTCTTACTAAATCAATAATTTGGATTATATTTTTGTGTTTAAAAAAGTCTTTTTATAAAATAAAATAAATTAATTATTATAGTTTTTACTCAAAAGTTTAATTTCCCTTAATACTCTTTTAGCATCTATAGGGTCTTTAAAAGTATCTTAAATCTTTTTTTTTGTTATAAATTAAATTATTAAAATAATTAGAATATATTTTATTATAATAATTTATTTATAATTAATATTTTTATAATAATTTTATTTAAAATTAAAAGAATATTAACAATGTAATAATAAAATTTAATCATTTTCATAATATTAAATAATATCTTTTTATATTTTTCTTTTTTTTAATTTAATATTTTACTTTTTTTATGGCTACTTTTTATCCAGTTCTTTAATCTATAGCACTACATACTACTCCATAAGCTCCACTTCCAATAGTCTTTATTAGTTTATAGTAATCATATACAATAAATTTTATTCCTTATTATATTTATTTTATTTTTTAAAACATGTAAAAATATATTTTTAAAAAAATTAAAATCTTATTTACCATCACAATTCATTAATAATTTCCCTTTTTTTACAAAATTTTGTTTTTGTTTGTAATTCTACTTTTAATATTTCATTTATTGTATAAAAATTTATTAATGATTTTATTATTATTGGCATTATTGTTAGAGATGTGCTATATTATTTTATTTTATCATTTATTTATTTTTTTTCTTTTTTTTTCTTTTTTTTTCTTTTGTTTTAATTTTTTTTTAAAATAATATATATTATAATAATAAAAAAAATGTAAGAAAATGCATTTTAAATATAAAAAGCTAATGAATTTGAATAAGCAATATTATAATTTTTAGATTGGCTATTTTAATAATTTTCTAAAAACTAATTTGTTTTTTTCACTATGTGTATACTTATTTGTGTTTTTTATTTGAGCTATGGCTCAGAAAAATAATCAACCTATTTGACTAAAGCTATTAAATCAGAACTTAATAAGTTAGAAATAAGGAAGTAAATAATTGAGAAGAAAATTGATATATGCTAATTTTTAATGTAGCTATTTAAATTTATTAATTTAGCTTTGTTTTTATTTTTACTATATTATGTATTACAAAATGAAATAAGTTAAAAAACATTTCTATTATTTTTTCTATAATCAATATCTTTAATTATGAATTATTATTGTAATCAATATTTCGATAATAAAGTATAAATCTTTAATTTTCAATTATAAAACTATTAGAATTAAGAATAGTAAATAATAGAAAAATTAATATCTGAAATTCCATAACAATTAAAAGAAAAACTACGTATAAAATTATATATAAGTATATAATATATAATATTAAATCTATGTTAAATATAATTTATTAATGCCTATTATTTTAATTTATTTATTTATTTTTAAATAAAATTAAAGTTAATATAAATAAATAATAAATTGTGAAAGATTAACAGAAAGAAATTGATAATTTAAATTTAAAAATCAAGGATTAAGATGCATTAATATTAAAATTACAAAATTAATTATCACCACAATACAATTAAAAC